GTTTACGGTGACTATTACCGCATATGTATGTGGTTGGTTGGCTGGCAGTCACTGGCGGATAGTTGATTAGACGCCGGCATTGACATCGATTATATTGTCTGTCCGCCACCGCAATATGTAGGCCACGCCAGCACCCACCAGTCTGCTCTCGACCATGCTGCTGGTCAATTCCAGGTTGCGTCCTGAGTTTCCTGCTGACAGAACTGTTTGAGCAACTGGTTCCGACACACATCCAACACCTGCCAGCTCCGGCTATGTCCTTTTAGTGCTCTAAGATTGACTCATCATCAGCAGGACAAAATATTTAAGTAAAACCATACAATGGAAAGAAATATACGATTTAATCGTAGTAAAAGCTTTAAGACGACCCTAAATTTCGAAGGCATCAAGTAAAAGAAACATATTTATATGTTTACTTTAAATTTATTTATATTTTTCTTCCTTTCAGCGATGAGCAGTTGGACTTGGGCCTTTCAAATGCCAACTATGTGGCCAGCTCCAATTCTAGTCTTTCCTCTTCAGCTGGCGGCAGCGAGAGTCCCAGCACTTCGATGGAGCACTTCGCTGCTGCAGCCGCCGGAGGAGGAGCCGTAGGTGGCGTCCAGCCCATGCCAAGTGGCTTGAACCAGAGCCAGCAACATCCGCATTTGCTTATTCAGCAGCATGCGCAGCAACATTGTCAGCAGCAGGATACATTTCAGGCCGGCGTGGCGTCAGCATCAGGCGGTGGAAGTAGTGCCGTGACCAACGCAAGCTTTTGGAATGCAGGATATCCGTTGCCCAGGCATGGAAACCTGGACAGCGAGGATGAGGATGATGCCAATGAAGTGGACTGGAGTTCTATGGTGGCCGCTGAGATGCTGGCAGCTCTAACCGATGCCGAAAAGAAGCGTCAAGAGATTATAAATGGTAAGAGATGTCTTTGTATCTATATGTCTGTTACTTATTTTCTTTTCTCCTCGTGCAGAAATCTATCAAACCGAACGCAACCATGTGCGCACTCTGAAGCTGCTGGATCGCCTGTTCTTCCTGCCACTCTACGAGAGTAACCTATTGTCCCAGGACCATCTGCTGTTGCTCTTCCCGCCCGCCTTGCTGTCGCTCCGCGAGATTCACGGCACCTTTGAGCAAAAACTGAAACAGCGGCGAATCGAGCACAACCATGTGGTGAACCATTTGGGTGACTTGCTGAGCGACATGTTCGACGGCCAGTCGGGGATTGTTCTTTGCGAATTTGCGGCTCAGTTCTGTGCCCGCCAACAGATCGCCTTGGAGGCCCTAAAGGAGAAACGCAACAAGGACGAGACGCTGCAGAAATTATTAAGGAAGTCCGAGTCGCACAAGGCCTGCCGCCGACTCGAGCTGAAGGATCTTTTGCCCACCGTTCTGCAGCGCCTCACCAAGTACCCGTTGCTTTTTGAGAACCTATACAAGGTGACGGTTCGCGTGTTGCCCGAGAATACTACCGAAGCGGAGGCCATTCAGCGAGCCGTGGAGTCCTCTAAGCGGATCCTCGTCGAAGTCAATCAGGCGGTGAAAACAGCCGAGGATGCTCACAAGTATGTATTACCAGAGAAAACTGTTTTAGGCTTGTATTTAACCATATTTACTCTAATTTTTACAAAAACAGACTACAAAACATTCAGCGTAAACTAGACAGATCCTCCTATGACAAGGAGGAGTTTAAGAAATTGGACCTGACCCAACATCACCTCATCCACGATGGCAATCTGACGATCAAAAAGAATCCTGGTGTCCAGCTTCACGGCCTGCTCTTTGAGACTATGATCGTTTTGCTGACTAAACAGGTAAGTTTATTCTTGAGGAATGGTACAAAACCATTTATTTTATTTGGATTGTTTTTTTTTTCGACAGGATGATAAATATTATTTAAAAAATTTACACACACCGCTGTCGGTGAACAATAAGCCCGTCAACCCCATTATGAGCATCGATGCCGAAACCCTGGTGCGCCAGGAGGCCGCCGATAAGAATTCCTTTTTCCTCATCAAGACAAAGACATCACAAATGCTGGAGCTGCGGGCGCCCAGCAGCTCCGAGTGCAAGACGTGAGTACTGATGGTGATTCGGCAACACAGAAGCTTAAAATAATTTTCTGTACAATGTTTTTGCAGTTGGTTTAAGCACATCTCGGATGCTGCTGCCCGGCAGTCAAAGAACCGGTCGAAGAATGCCACGAATGCCAGCCATGACACGAGCATCAGTGACCCTGCGCTCACCAGCATTCCGCATTCCAGCACCAAGGAGTCCCTGGAGCTGACAACTGATTGCCCGCAGCCGATGTCGGCAACGGCCACGGTGACCACAACACCCCTGGCACCTATGCTTCCCATAGCCACGGTTACTCCAGCTCCAGCGACTAGCTCCATTTCGGGAGTTCAGCTGAGGTCTAAGGATGTCGCTGAAGCCGATTATGTGAATACTCCCAAGTCACAGCGTTCGAGCCAGAGTGATCAGGTAAGTCGCTCAATGTCAATCCGAAGCTCTGGAGAGCCCAGCAAGTTTGCTGCGAATGGATCGGAGCCGAACACTGACGTAACCCTGCGACACTCTCAGTCTGCGAGGGAATCAGCCAGGCCGGGATCCAGTGGCGAGGAAAGGAACTCCACCTACGGAATAGTGGGAGGCCACTCCAAACGCGACAGTGCCAGCATTGTCTGTTCGAACAACTCGAACAACACGCGCACCCTGTTGATGCAGAGTCCCCTCGTGGATCCCACAGCCATCCAGATCAGTATCAGTCCGGCACACACCGCGGAGCCTGTGCTGACGCCGGGCGAGAAGCTGCGCCGCTTGGACGCGTCCATTAGGAACGACTTGCTGGAGAAGCAAAAGATCATTTGTGATATTTTCCGTTTGCCCGTGGAGCACTACGACCAGATTGTGGACATTGCCATGATGCCAGAGGCGCCGAAAGACAGTGCTGATATCGCTTTAGCTGCCTACGATCAGATCCAGACCCTGACCAAAATGCTGAACGAGTACATGCATGTGACGCCGGAGCAGGAGGTCTCTGCAGTGTCCACCATGGTGTGCGGTCACTGTCACGAGAAGGACAAGCTGCGCAAGAAGGTAATAACACCAGCGTCGTCATCACCGCCGCCTCCGCCGTTGCCACCACCAAATAGACAGCATGCCCAGGCTCAGGCCCAGATACCGCCATCGAGACTGATGCCCAAACTACAAACCCTTGATCTTGACGAAGTTGCCATACATGAAGACGATGACGGTTACTGTGAGATTGACGAGCTGCGCCTGCCAGCGATCCCATCAAGTCGCAGGACTCCACCACTACGACACCACTAGCTCTATGAAAGAAGAGCTAAAACCAACGCAGTCGGACGGCTGCACGGATGCTATTCCTGATGAAGATCTGCCTGAGGCGGCAGAGTCCGACAAGAAGGTGGCTGGTGAAACAGGCAACACTGAGCTGCCATCTACAAGCGAAGCTGTGGTCGCCGAAACGCCAAATTTGGAGACGGAGAAAGCCAAGCCTGAAGCTGCTTCAGATAATGAAAGCATGACAATTGCGGATGGACTACCATGCCCAAGTACCGATGAAGCCGCAGATGAAAAGACAGTTGAGAAGACGTCCTCATCGGTGGAAATCAAGGAGGACATCGAGGTATCCGTAAGTATTACTCTTTCCACAACTATTATCTAAGTATGTAACTTATTGTTCTTGCAAAGAAGGAATCCTTGGCGGTGACCCGGGTCGATGGGTCGACACAGACAGCACCGTCGTCGGAAATGGAAAAGTTAACTGGAGCATCTGCCAGCACCTGCGGACCGAATCGTATCCAGCACGCCAGTGTGCTGGAGCCAAGCGTGCCCTGCCATGCCCTCAGCAGCATTGTGACAGTCTTGAACGAGCAGATTTCCATGCTTTTGGTGCGTTTGTAATCTTTATTATCAAATGAATTTGAATTTTAATGAATCTTGTGCATAATTAACAGCCAAAAATTAATGAACGAGATGTGGAGAGGGAGCGATTGCGTAAAGAGAATCAACACCTTCGCGAGCTTTTAAGTGCGCTGCATGAAAGACAGCGAGTTGATGAAGTCAAGGTGAGAATACCTTCTAAGTTTTTAGTTGATACATATTCGTTAACATATTCCCTGCATTCATAAGGAAACTCGGTTCGATCTTTCTAAACTGATGCATGCCGAGGATGTCGTGTTTGACGATGAAATTGACGCCATTTCCAACAGTTCACTGACGCCCACGCCCACGCCAACGCCCACTCCGCTTCCGTTGGCCACGGCTTCGCCTAGCGTCACCACCCAGACAGCGGTAGCCATGAGAGTTAACAGCACTGAGGATGAGGAATCAGGATGTTAGGAAACTTATTTAAAATATATATATATATTTCTTTTTTTTGTGTATAAAATACATATACTTGTTCTTGTTTTTCCCCCGCACACACACGCATTTGTCCAATTGAATTGGCGGCGTCTGTGCTTTACGAGAGTAGCCTTTCTAATAGCATGCCTTTTACTACTGTAGCCTGTAATGTAGCTACATTTGTTCTCTTACAAGAAATATTATGTATTCCACAAGAGCCGATAACACGCCCTTGAATTAAGCCTAACCATGTCCCCCGTCGTAAAACTAATTAAATACATATATATATATATATACATATGCATATTATCTCGACTTAAAGAATATATAATATATATCTGCTAAAATACACACAATGTTTGATACATTTATAAAGAACAATAAACAATATATAGTTATTGAGAAATAAACTAGGACGACAAGAGTTCTTTTTGGAAGAATTTCAAGTATTTGTAAGTGGTAAACATTTTTATTTTTATTTATTTTGTTTCATTTTATTAATTATCTTTTAAGAATCATCTTAAAATTCTACTGAAAAAAAGAGGAAAAAGCTATGTCACAGTCAATGATGCTTTCTTGGCATTCTTCCCTTGCTTTTCCATTCGTTCAGCTGGCCCCCATTATTAATATTTATTAATATTGATATTTCCACATAAAATTATCGAGAAAATCAGGCACACGTTTAGCGAGATATATCACCTCTCAACCCGACCGTTCGACTGAGGTCTAAAAATAAAGAACGCGTCTCGTTCCGAGTTACGCACGCAATTAGCCAAAACTACTTAGCACCGACTAAATACATATGCACAATGACAGGGCTCCCGAAATGAGGGAAGAATTCACCTCTTCCTCTGCCAGCATAGGTGCTGGCGAGTATATTTTTGTATAATTGCTCCTCAGTGCGTTTTGGGCATCCACGCCGCTAGGAACTATTCACCAACTGAATAGTTTTCTCTACCCCGACCAGGCACACCACCACGTAATCGATGCAAGACCTAAGCGAAAATATTCAGCAGGTGCACAATGAGAAGCTGGGCAGGTAAGAGGTGCTCGAACTCTACTCCTGTCAATATTATTTAAATTTATTTCTCTGGTTTAGGCACTTGGTAGCCGGGCTGGCTATCGAACCGGGGGAAACGCTGCTGGAGGAACGCCCTTTGTTGGTAACTCCCCACTGGGAGTGTGGCCAGCTCAAGTGTGCCCAGTGCCTGCAGGAATCGTATGTGATGTGCCGCAAGTGTCAGGTGTATCCCCTTTGCATGGATTGCGGTCAGCACGATGACTTCGAGTGCGAGTTCTTTGCCTCCGGAGCGGGGAAGTCGATCTGCAAGGATCTCCTCGTGAAGAATTATGGAATATGTGGATTGTTGAAGCTATTACTGTTGCTGGAAGATCCAGCTACTAGGCCCGACTGTCAGTTGCTCATGGAGAAGCCTATTAATTTGGAGGATTACCACGATGGAGAAGGAATGTGGCAGGAGCATGAGGAGCAGGTGGTGCGTCCTCTTATGGAAAGCGGTATTGTGGATTTGCTTCCCACACAGCACTTGACATCTGATGTGCTCCATGCCCACTGCATCCGCATCGATAGCCATGCATTCGAAGTGAGTGCAAGGGATGGCGACACCCTCAAAGGAGTCTTTGTGTGCGGCGCCAGTTTGCCTCATCACTGCGTTCCCAACACTGTGGTGGCTCTAGACGAGCAGTTTAACATGAAGCTTTACGCAGCAGTTCCCCTTCAGCCCGGCGATATAATCTACAACTCGTACACGAATCCCTTGATGGGTACCAGCCAAAGACAGCACCAACTCCGGATGAGTCGGAGACTGGACTGTACCTGCTCTCGCTGCCAGGATCCCACCGAGAGGGGCACACACATGAGCAGCATGAAGTGTCGCGAGTGCGCCGAAGGATTTGCCGTCTGTGAGATGGATGCCAATGGGAGACTTGGAGATTGGCGCTGCCTGGACTGTAAGAGTGTCTTGCCGGCCGATAGTGTGCACGAACTGCTGGCCGAGGTTGGTGGAGCTTTGGTTGATGCCCGTGGCGATCTGCAGGTCTACGAATCCCTGCTAGCTCAATACCGGCAACTATTCCACCCAAATCACTTCCTCCTGCTGGACATCAAACAGAACATAGCCACCATTCTTCGAGCTGCTGCCCTAATGAACTCCGTGGAGCAGCCGTGCAAGAAACTACTGGCCCGCCGTGTGGAATTGTGCTCCGATCTGCTGCCCGTCTGCCGGGCTGTTGTCCCGGGTCTCTCCAAGCTTTACGCCATTGGTCTTTTCGAGTATCTGATCTCTCTCGTGGAGCTTATCGAGCTGCAGTTTGCCGAAAGTGATCTGGACAAGAAGGGATATGTGGTGAGTATTTAAAATTGTTCTTTGTAAACATAAAACTAATTTTCATTTACTTCCTTAAAGGCTCAACTTAGGATCGCCAGTCAGGCGGCAAAGGAAGCAATGGAGCTACTCCGCTTCGAGCCCGAGAACTCCGCCGAGGGCTACTTATCCGAGCGTATTGCCATGGAACTGGAGCGCATTGAATCCGATTTGAAGAAATACGGCAGATAGTTTTGTTCTGTCCGCAATCGATATTGTTTGTAAACGCTTCGCTCGCAGTGTTGTTGCGGCGAATTTTAAATTTAAAATAAATTAGATTAGTCCAATGGAAGGAGAGAGGAGTGCTTCCCTTCGGTTGCTGTTGCCACTTGTGTTGCTGGCGGACTGGCGACATGGTTCAACGTTTAGGAGGGGTGCAGGGTAGGGGGAATCATTGACCAAGAAATAAATAAAGAATTGTCGTTCAATTAAAAATAAGTTGCCGCAACGCATCGCGCTGGCTGGGCTGTCAGTATGCCAAAGGTATCCGAAGGGAACGGGATCAGAGACAATGGCCGCCGCAGGAACCGATGACTTCGACAAGAAGTGCGAGGTGAAGCACAACGAGACGCTGGGCAGGTGCGTCTTCCAACTCCTTACTCCTATTCTGGTTATCTTACCTCCTCCTTTTTCTTCTTCTCAAGATTTTTAGTTGCCCACTGCAACATCCGAGCTGGCGAAACCCTTCTGCTGGAGCATCCCATCGTGGTATTGCCCCACATTGGTGACAGACGATGCTTCAAGTGTTTCAAACTCACTCGGACTTTCTGCAAGTAGGTAGTGGAGTTCCGATCTGTCCCTAAATCTTATGTAAACTATTTAGGAAGTGCCGCCTTTTGGCTTTGTGCGCAGAGTGCCCGGATCATGATGAGCGAGACTGTCAAAGGCTTGGAGAGCTGAAACTGCCAGAGGAACAGGTGGAGCAGCTGCAGGGAGATGATCACACTGCTGTCCAGTCTGCCCTGAAGTGTCTGCTATTGAGGGAGCATTTGGACACGCTGCCACTTTATGAGGAAATGTCCCAAATGGAAACTCATCTGGCGGTCAGGCGAGGCACTGATATCTGGAAGAGCTATCAGGAACAGGCCTTTGATCCACTGGAGAAGAGCGGAGTGCTGAAGCAACTGCATTCCGAAGCGAATGAGGATCTGGTGCAGAGTCTCCTTGGTATTCTGGACATTAATACCTTCGAAATACGTGCCCCGGAACCGGGTGGCTCCATGAGGGGACTTTATCGCCGGGCCGGACTGTTTGCCCACAGCTGTATGCCCAATCTGGTGACCGCCATTGATGATGAGCGTCGGATTAAGGTATACGCCAACAGGTTTATAGCAGCCGGCGAGATCCTTTACTACTGCTACACCAACGTGCTCCTAGGCACCGAAGAGCGTCGGCAAATACTAAAGGAGGGAAAGTGCTTCGACTGCAACTGTCCGCGCTGCCAGGATCCAACTGAGCTGGGCACTCACATGAGCAGCTTCATATGCAGTCCTTGCTCCTGTCCGGCGGCTATATAGTCCGCCAGACGGAGACTGGTAGTTGGCAGTGTCTCCTCAATCCGGAGCACACACTGAAGGAGGAGTTCGTTTCGAATATGTTGGAGCGAGCCAAGGAGGAGATATTCCATGCCAAGGATGATATCTATAGGTTGGAGCTGCTGCTGGCTAAGCTCAGCCGGTTACTCCATGGAAACCATTACCTGATGTTGGACTTGAAGCAGAACATAGCCTCCATACTGCGCCAAATCCTGCAGAACATGGCACACAGACCGAACAGAAAGGTCTATGAGCGAAAGATTCGGTTGTGCCAAGAGATTTTGCTGGTTCTCAAGGTCCTGACTCCCGGAATCTCAAGATTGAAGGCCATAGATCTCTACGAGCTGGCCAATACACAGGCGGAGCTGGCCAGAAAGCTGTTTAGCGAGCAGGAGAAAAGTGCCCGCGACCTGTTGGTGGGTAAAGTCCTCTTATAGCGTCTAATATCACTCCTCAAACAGCCTTTACCTTCCAGGAGGAGCTTGAACAAACAGAGGTTATGATACGAGAGTCCCTACGAATGCTCCTTTTTGAGCCCATAGCCACTCCAGAAGGTCAACTTGCGCACAGCATGCTCCGGGAGCTGAAAGAACTACAGAACGATATAAAACTACTCAAGGAACCCAATGACGATGTGGTGAACTAATTAGCAAAATTTGCATTTGAGTTTCATACAATTTTGGTTACATTATTCTTTACAAAACATTACTAAACAAATGTGCAAACTAATTGCTTTGGCTTGAGCTTAATAATTTCTACTTAGTGGGTTACTAATAATTCGTTAGAAAAGAAACAGTTGGCATAGATATTTAATTGACAGTTTAAATTTGAATTTGATTGAAAGTCGATGACCGACAATCGATTACGCGCAAGCTTACAGCTATCTCTCATGTTTGGTATTTACCAACACTCGCCACGTTTTTGTTTTGTTGCTAAATTTCTCTCTTCTTGTTTATTCTCGCATTAAACAATAAAAGCTCGACAACAAAAGAGTTAAACAAGTGGAATTTTTGACTATTGAATATAGTTAACACAAAAGAACAATGCCCACTCTGCGAAGAAGGCGAACAGCTGATGCCTGATAAGACTCAGATGGGGTGACGGAAAACAACCCCTTTAAGGAAAAGGGCGAAAGCCTGGCAGTTACGTTTTGCATGCGCTGCGATAAAGTTTAATCACGGTCTCAACTGGAAACCAATACCGGAACAATAATAACAGATGCTGCGCTATAGACACCACTAGCTGCTGCTCACCCTCACCGTCTCCTCCCGCATTCGCCGTTGCCATGACCGGAGCGTTGTGAAATTCTTGCTATTCGTCATCGTAGTTGTCGCCGTTGTGGAAATCCCCCATTAGGATGGCCCTCGCAAGTGCTGCGGCAGCCCTGCTCAAGGGCTCCCAGACGCCGTTGCAGCAGCTCCTGGAGGACATCAACTTCCAGCGCACCAAGGAGATGCGGCAGCTGCTCAAGGATGGTGAGTATATCGCAGGGAACTTGTATTTTATTTTCCTTGGGAAAATTTGTCTACATTGCGCATTATCGATTTGTCAAGTGGAGAGACAACCCCTAAGGGATATGTGTGTGTGTCTGCTGCGCCTGTGCGCATGGGTTTTCCGCCCCACTTTTTGGCTCACCATTTGTTTTCTTTTATGTAAGCGGCTTTTACTTTTATCGGAGTTAATAGGGGATGGGGGAGGGTGGTTGGTGGAGAAGTGTAAAGCCACAAACAGCTGTTCACCTGTCGGACTGCTTTAACATCTTCATCCCCTAGCCAAGACTTTGCGTCCTTCCCGAAGGAACTTTAATTTTCTTTACTACATCTCAGAAATGTTGATCCCTAGGTTATATAATTTAGATTCCTGTCAAGACATAGTGGTTAATTAAATATGTTTGTTATTTAATAGTTTTAATATCTATAAAATGTTTACCATCTTTTCACTTCCCTTCCCTATACAGATGGTGGCTTTGTGGTACTCCAGGGCACTACCTATTGGACCGACCTGTTTGTGCGCCACTTTCTCTTCCAGACGGAACCCGTGCACAGCATTGATTCGGACGACCTGCTCTTTTTTGTTCGCAAGAAGCACGTAAAGAGCTCCTCGCGTCACATGCCAAAATTTGAGGTAAGCTGCTCCTCTAATCTCCTATTTTCAGTTCCTTTTTCATCGAATAAAATTTCTTTCTTAGACTGAAGTGGAGGTATTCCGCAAGGACTCGCGCAAACTACCCATCGGCGATCCCGATGTGGACTGGGAGGAGACAGTGTATTTAAATATGGTTATACACCAGTTCGACTACACCCTGACTCTGGCCATTTGTACAAGGACATCACCAAAGGAGCTGCAGGTGCTGAGGAGGCATTCCCAGCGGGTGTATGCCAGTCCCAGTCGCCGAAAGATGGACACCAAGGGCGAGGGCGAGGAGATTACGTATCCGCACATCTGCTTCATGGTGGACAACTTTGATGAGGTGTTCAGCGACATTCTGGTGCGTGACGGGGAGATGGTGTGCGTGGAGCTGGTGGCCAATGATAAGGATGGAGCGGTGCAGGGAGTGATTTTCCTAGGATCCATACGCTATGATGCCTTGAAGAAGGTCTACGATGCCAGGGTTGGTTGTCTCTCAAATAGAATTCAAACATTATTATAATCTCTCTTTCTGGCAGCAATCCAGCCTCAGCTCCAAGGTGGCGCAACGCATGTCCTTCGGGCTTTTCAGTAGTGGCGCCGGCGTTCAAACCCGCTGTGAATTTGTCCGAATGAAGGGGCCGCAGGGCAAGGGCCATGCCGAGATGGCGGTGACAAAGCCAAAGGGTTCTGGTGTGGAGACGCCCACCAGCGAGCCTGGCTTCTGCGCCACGGACATGTGGGACGAATGGGAGGAGGAGAACGACGACTATTGCACGTATCGGCATCAACGACGCCTCAGCGATCCCAGCGCCAATCTCAATAACTTCTCGCGCTACGGCTGGCGCACAAAGAACTTGTCGAACAACCAGGACATGGTCGGCAGCGGCACCAGTCCCAGTGTGGGGGCCAAGGCGCGATCGGAAAACGAGGGCCTGGACTCACTCGCCAGCGAGGTGTCCGAAATCGAGGCCGGGGATCTGCGCGACGGTCAGTTTGAACTTAAATCTATATGTATTTGTCCTAGTTTCCACTTCATTTGAGCATCCTCTTTAGTTGCATGATATTTAAGCTTGTAGACGTTGATTGCTGACATTTCCGCTTGCTCCTTTCATTTCCGTTCATATTCCTGAGTTCATAATCTCGTAATGTGTTGTGTTTTCCATTGATTTTCAACCTTTTACAACTTCCAACTATCAAATTTATATATATACTTTATATGTGCCCCCTAAAAGCGACTCCACGAGTATATATATAAAAAGAGAAGAACACCAGACATATTGCCGAGAAAGCAGGACAAATGATACACTAAGGACAACCAAAATTATCTTCTGTTCATCCCATCCTCTATCCCCCATACCCCCTAGCAGTTTTATTTCCCATTTCTGGTGGCTTGATTGTGTTGTATTCACTAGACATCCTTTCCATCTGTCCATCATCCGTCTATCCATCCATCTGCCCTCGATTAATATTCCCCATTTTAGCCTATGATTTCCACTGCTTTCCGTTTCTGTTGCCAATTATCCATTAAGTTGCTTGGGCCGATCCTTTCGGTTGTATGTACATGATGTGTGTCGATGTATATGCTTTTAAAACGCAAAAAACCGATCTATATCTACTTGTAGATCAGCAGCGTCCTGCTTTCTCGGCCTCTGCGGCAAAACTGCACCCAAATCCGAACTGTGAGACTCACAAACTCGCGACTGGTGGTGACCAAACCGAACAGGGGCCCCAAGAATCATCCACAGCTCCACAGTCGGCAGCTGCTGCTGCTGCGGTACCGGCTGTGACTCCGCCACCCTTAAGCGCCGCCGTGGAGGTCACAGTGTCCGGTGAGAAATCAAGCAATGGAACAGGACAGAGCTCCACCACTACAGGTTGCAATTGCTTTGGTGGCAAGAAGTGCAAAAAGCGCTGGCCGGCGGATAAGAACACGGACACCCCGGAAATGTCCGAGATTTACTGCCCCAGCTGCGAGGATCCGTCCAATGAATCCCCTGCCTGCCTGGCCAAGATGCCCGACAAGCGGCCCACGCGCCTCAAGCCCAAGCCCAGCATCCTGAGCGTGGAGAGCGAGGTGCTGGTGGTGGGTAAACGAAACAGTTTTAGGCTTCCATCCGAGGCCAAGCGCAAGCAGCAGGCCAGCGGCAGTATCACCAGGAGCGCCTCGCTGAGTGCCGCTGATCGCAGGACCAGCCTCCCGGTGGCCACCAAGAAGATCATACCCCCAAGACTGCGCATGGCCAAGGCCAAGGATCAGGAGAAGGATAAGGATAAGAACAAGGAGAATGACAAGAAGTCTTCAAACCAAAAAGTCAATGGCACAGCGGGCAACTTTCTGTCCAAGATGTCGCCAAAACGCCTCAGAGGTGCAAAGGATAAGGACAAGGACAAAGACAAAGACAAGGAAAGTGACAAGGACAAGAGCAAATCAGTGAATGCTGTAACCAAAAATAAAGGCGCCAACAATAATAATCCAAAGGCAGAAAGCTCCAAAAGCGAAGAGTACGAAATAGCCGATGACGCCACTTCCCTGAATGGTGACTCCGATGGAGCTGGTGCAATGGCCAAGATGGCTATACTAAGCGAGAGCGACAGCAAGCTTATGATCAGTGTCCGAGGTCGTGAGGAGCTGCCTGTGGTGGAATCTCCAAAGACGCCAACCAACCGCTTCGAGAAATGTGTTCGTGTGCCTGTCGAAGCGGAGAGTCACCCCTTGCAACCGAACGAGAATAATGAGAACGAAGATGAAGACAAGGTGATCTCACCAACGGACGTGGCCAATGGCAACCAGGAGGCCAGCAGTGCCACGCTTCCGCGGACAGCCAAGCAGGCCCATGTGAGCAAGATGTTGCACTTGGTTCCCAAGCGGCGCACTCCCGATGGCACCAACATATACTATTGGTGCGATGTGCCCAAGAAGGCGCTAAAAGGTCATTTAACTCTACTTTATCTCTATTTCTGATGCATGCCATGGTAGCTCTTAGGTTCTCGATCCACAATAATGATAACTAATTGCCATTGCCCATTCTCATTACAGAACTCGACGATGGCGCTTATAATCCTCTGTGGACCAGTCGAGGCTTTACGCAGTCCTTCCATTTCTGGAAAGAGAATCGAAGGCAGCAGTCCACGCCGCTCAACGCATTTCTTACCTATGTGACACTGCCCTGGTGGAGCATTGCCAAGGGTAAGTGGGTTTTGAGCTCTCCAAACTTAATCCTTATACCCAACTCTGGCTCTTCTTTACAGATCTGTTGGATCACCGGGAAACACCTATTCTGACCTTTTAGTATTAACTTAATTTGCGATTGTGATTTACGTGCGCCCTCTATATGCTTTATAGCTCCTTACACATGGCAGTGCTCCTATTAACCGATCGAATGCCATGAGGATCAGTCTCAGTTCAATTTATCAGTATGTACTTGCGTTAAGTTTCCTAAGCAGCAGAGCCAACCTACAAATCTATGATCTACGAATTACGATAGTGAACACTGTTACCGACGATGATGTGAAATTGAATATATATATAATTGTAATATTATTTGTAAATTGTACCGCAACATTTATACCACGAAATATATATACGAAATAGAAAAGGAGGCGCCAAGGAATTGAGAAATTAATCAAGGAGCAAACGCGCTAATAATGTTTATGTTAAGAGAACGTGACAAATTACCCGATGCATCCGGTTCGGGCCGCCGTCCGAGGTTCGACTTGATCGCCGCCTCTCCGGCTCGATTAGTCTGTTGTTGAGCCTCGTCTGGAACGGTCGCTAGTCCGTCTTTCGTTCTTCATCGCAATCGTCAAGTGATAACGTGGGAAACAAAGGCTTTCCGAGATGGGGCAATCGCTGCCGCTGCTCATCCGCCTGCTGGTCGTTGTCTGGCTGACAATTAGTACGGTCACCGCCTGTCCCCGGGCGCCCACCCACTTGAACCACGGCCGACGCACACGCGGCGACAATGGATACAAACTAATTGTGGCCGATGGACCCAACGGATATGTGCCCGGCAAGACGTATAATTGTAAGTCGCGGGAGAAGCTACTTAGTCGATGGCTGGTTTCGTAATCATCGGCAGCGGGGTCACTTGAGAGCTAAGAAAAGAAAAAAACAAGAACAATCGAGGCGATAAGCCGACAGAATCCAGAGCAGATGTCAGTTGATCTCTCGAGTTCAACTTGTCTTTGATAATGTCAATATATTGTTGATAATACAGAAAGTGACGGTGTTCATTCACATTAAATTAAACATAAAGTTTAAGTAAGGAATTTCTTAATTTCATTGATACATACTTAACTAGCCTGTTCATGAACTTGACTTTTAACTTAAATTAGAACGAAGACAACTCAGCAAGAATATTGAGCATATTATTCTATAAATCAAATACAAGTTTACAATAAATGCTTAAATATAGTCCAGGACGTTGTCGTTGGCATGGTGGGCTCGCAAGTGCTTGTCGAGAAATCCATGCCTCTTGAAGGGTCTGTGACATATGGCGCATCGAATAGTAAATGAGTGAGACAATAAGTGCTTTCTGTAGGCTGCCTCCAGTGTAAAGTTTTCGTCGCAATATTCGCAAAAAAATAGAAATCGAGTGAGTTTCGGTATGAAGGCAAATAAATTGAAATAGTACTGAATGCTGGGCGAAAGTGGGACCTTCTTGAAGTGCTTAAGGTCGATAGTCTGTCGAAACCACAATGTAATTAAATTTAGTATACGCTTTGCATCAGATTTGGACAAATAACAGTCCAATTCGGCAATTACATCTTGGGTTAATAATTCTATAAGATCTGCAAGTTTTTTGGTATTATTCGCCATGGGTTTTGTCCTTCGGCAGTTCCAAATTTCGTCGTATTTTCGAAAGATTTCACAAAACTTGGCCGCCTTTCCTCGTAAATCTTCCAACTCGTCCAACATGATTTTGTCCTCATAGCTGGGGTTGTGGATTACTGGCAGCTGAAAGGGATGTGGATAAGGGAGAATTAGGATTTAGATTTAGGTGTCTCTCATCCTGCCATTTATACGATCAATTGCTCACCCCAACATATTTCAAGAGAGTACAATTGTCAATTAACACTTCGATGCTTTCATTTACATCAGCTGATGTGGAATCTTGCTTTGTAGGCGTCTTGTTCAGTAAATCTATCCCAGCGAGGATGATTTCTAATTTGTTTTCTACATTTTTGGTATTCAATTGTGTTTGATTATAACTCTTGACATCTTTATTTAGTTTTTGGATTTTAGTTCTTGAATTTATCACTTTAGCTGGACTCTCTTTCGTCTCCTTTGAATTCCATCTCATGGGTTGGCCAAGCAGAACTGCAAGCTCTTTTTCTATGTCAATATCGTCTACATTTTCAGCGTTATTTAAAATATCATTTTGAGTTTCGAGCTTGGGAAGCATTTCAATTTTTTGTATCTCGATGGGTGACTTTTGGGTCCCACAAATATTGCCTAAATTAAACATTTGGTTCTCCTGGCAGGAGTTTTCCTGTTCTGTTATAGAGGATTGGACTACTGATTGCGAGGCCTGATATGAGGGTTCTTCTTCCTTTGAACAAGAAACGACTGTTGCCGACGATGTGGTGGTGGTGGTTGTCATCTGAAGAGAGATTCGGGCTGTTGTAAGAGTCGATTTCCTAACGCTTAGATGACCCGCATTCATGGGAGGTCGGGCTGGGGTCTTGGAAAGCGGTATCCTCGGCCGAATTGGTGCCAATTGTAAGAGCTGGGCCTGGTCAGCCGCCTTGTCCTGATCGGCCGGGTTATTCTTTAAGGGAATTTGGTTCTTTGGCACAAAGTTGTCAATGGCACGCAAAATGCGCTTCTTTACGGTGCTCATGCGTTTTCGAGACTGCCTGGCAATAGCGTGACTCCTTAGGCGGGAAATATTCAGACCTTTTTGGTTGCGTCCTCCTTTGGATCTTTGGCTATCTGGTTCGGGTTTGGAAATAAGGGGTTCCTTAGTGACTTCCTTCTTTTTCTGCAATCCTTGACAGACCTCAAGGTAGGCTTTAATGGCCATATCCTGTTGAGAATTCTTTTCACTTTCCTTTTCGTCGTCTTCGTCCGAGAACAACATGGCTTCCACTTCAGCCAGGACGTCCGTAGTTGAACCGGGCGATTCTTTCTCTGTTTCATCTGAAGATGAAAGATGAAGGCTTTAAGTTTTCAATTAGAGGTCTTAGGACTGCATCGCCCTACCCTACCTGTACCTGGAATGTTTTTCGATTTCACACATTCATCCGGTTCCTCCGCCACTTGTGGCATTCCACAATTCTCGTCTTGGCTGTTGTTTTCAACATCCTCCGCTTCCCGATCTTCTTCTGCTGCGCCGGATAACAGCTCTTCCACGCTGTAGACATTGTGATCGTTCTTAAAATGGAGCACATCGCCATGCGCCTCATGAAGATGCCGGAGAAACTGCGGCAGATATGTGATGAGATCCTTGCAAAAGTGGCAAAACAATGCTAGCTTGTTGTCTTTGGTCGACACCACCACGTCACCACACTTTTCAAATGCCATATGGCCATCGTTTATAACCATATCCGCAAAGAAAGCCATAATAGGGTAAGTTTAATTAACAAAAACAAGGATTTAACAAAACAAAACAAAAATTGCTAGATTGCGCGTTTTCTTAAATTGAGTGATGTGTGAGCAGTGTTGTGCAGGGTTCGCCGAGCAGTGCTGCAAATCACAGATGTGATTCCATTTATTCGATACTTTTTTTTCGATATTTTGTTATCGCTTTTTGAATTCAAATTTCTTGCCAGTGCTTCTGCTCGGTTCCCGCACTCACACGAAAATCCAGCATTTTACCCATTTTACCATCGCTGCTGAGGCACACACTGGAGCTCGGCGTCCCCAGGCAGCCAGTCCGAGGCGTGTAGGTCGCTTCCAGTTGTTCAGTGATTCGCTGACCCAATTCAACGATCGGTGCGTAAACACCGTCTCCGAGGCGGATGATCTGCCTAAGACGGAGGTTCAGGTGATGTGGGTCGCCCCAGAGTCGGGGTCCGGCTGTGTCTCCCTCTCGGCAATGGTGTACGAGGGGCCACGCGCCTGGTTTGCCGACGATGGCCAACTGTCCACGGTGATTTGTGAGCGAAAACCAGATGCAGCCGCTGCGCAGAAGGAGTGCTGCGCCTGCGATGAAGCGAAGTACAGCGTAAGTGATAGATAATTCAATAAATCTTTGAAAACTATAGCTTCCTGTCCAAATTCCAGTTTGTTTTTGAGGGTATCTGGTCGAATGAAACACATCCCAAGGACTATCCCTTCGCCATTTGGCTGACCCACTTCTCCGATGTGATTGGCGCCTCGCATGAGTCCAACTTCTCGTTTTGGGGGGAGAACCACATAGCTACCGCCGGCTTCCGGTCCCTGGCGGAATGGGGATCACCTGCTGCTCTGGAAACGGAGCTGCGAGCCAATGGTCCCAAGTTGCGTACCCTGATCAAGGCCGCTGGTCTGTGGTACCCGAATGTCAACCAGAACACATCCTCCAAGTTCCGCGTGGATCGCAAGCATCCCAAGGTGTCGCTGGTATCCATGTTTGGTCCCTCTCCCGATTGGGTAGTTGGTATCAGTGGCTTGGATCTCTGCACCGAGGACTGCAGTTGGAAGGAATCAATGGAATTTGATCTATATCCCTGGGATGCGGGCACCGACAGTGGGATCTCATACATGGTAAGGCAAAGTGTTTCTCTGAAGTGGTTTAATATATAATAATGGTGTGTCGTTAATAGTCACCCAATACGGAGACGCAGCCACCGGAGAGGATGTACCGCATTACCACCATGTATCCCGAGGACCCCAGGGCTCCATTCTACAATCCCCAGAGCCGCGAGATGACTCCTTTGGCCAAACTATACGTGAGGCGGGAAAAGATTATCTCCCGAAACTGTGACGATGACTTCCTGCAGGCTCTTCAGCTGGAGGTGTCCGACGATGCCGAGGAGCAGACATAAGAGGTGAGTTTTCTGCGGATAAACCTTTATCCTATTATTGAAAGTCTATTACCCCGCAGCGGAGTGCCGTGTGAACGAGTATTCCGCCTGGAGCCCGTGCTCTGTGAGCTGCGGCAAGGGAATTCGAATGCGCAATCGCCAGTATCTCTATCCCCAGGCAGCGGAGCAGTCCAAGTGCAGTCGCCAGCTGGTGTCCAAGGAGATGTGCGTGGCACCCATACCCGAATGCGCTGATGGGTCCACCTCGCAGCGCGATCGCGATGAGGACGAGGGCGAGAACCTCGCCAACTCGCAATCCCTGGTAGGAGACAATGGTGAAGGCGCCGGCCTGTGCAAGACCTCGCCGTGGAGCGTGTGGTCCGAGTGCTCGGCCAGCTGCGGCATCGGTATCACCATGCGCACGCGCACCTTTGTCAATCATTTAGGACGCAAGCGATGCCCCCACATTACGATCGTGGAGAAGAACAAGTGCATGCGGCCGGACTGCACGTACGAGCAGGTGGAGCTGCCCGATCCCCACTGTCCCACCTCTCAGTGGAGCGACTGGAGCCCGTGCAGCTCGACCTGCGGCAAGGGCGTGACCATACGCACCCGCCTCCTGCTGCTAGAGAATGGACCGGAGAAGGAGAACTGCACACGCCGCATGGAGCTGCACCAGCAAAAGAGTGCGTCAATCCCACCAGCTGTCACATTAATGCCGAACAGGCCAAGGACATCTGCGTTCAGGCGCCAGATGCGGGTCCCTGCCGTGGTAGCTACCAAAGGTATGCCTATAATCCGCAGTCACAGCGCTGCGACTCCTTCAGCTACGGCGGATGTCGCGGCAACCGAAACAATTTCCTGACGGAGAACGATTGCCTGAACACCTGCAATGTGATCCGGAGTGCATCCCGATCGGCAGCTGATCCACACAAGCTGCCCAAGGACTGCGTGCTTTCCGATTGGTCCACTTGGTCCCCCTGCAGCGTCAGTTGCGGATCCGGCTTCTCCGAGAGCTACCGCTACGTGGTCAGTGAGCCACAGAATGGAGGTCAACCGTGCTCCAAGCGCCTGGTCAAGCCGCGCCGTTGTTCCATGCCCGCCTGCTGAGCCCTTACTGTCATTTCTTAAGTTGAGCATCCTGTTCACATCCTTGAATCTGTATCATCATATTTGGGTTCTTAATAAAGGTAAATTTTTGAATATATATTTTATTCATAGGCTTTTGAAAGCCTGCACTTATGTTATTTAAGATTTGAATGAAGTTCTTAAAGTAAGAAGTAAGTTTTCTAAAATATCCCAAAATATTAAATTATTTAGCTTTAGCTTTGTTAGTAGCCCCTAGAAACATCTAGAAATAATTACCTCTGACTAACCTTACAGTTAGTAATGACATCAACATCATCGACAGCTTAAAGATCATAAATTTTTATAAATGTTCTTTCCCGGAAATGGAATTGATTAAAGGGCCTCACAATAAAAGCTTTGAAATTGCAGTCTTAACTTGATAAACAATCGTAATAAAGTTATTCCCCTTTATACAATTAATCTTAATGCAACTAAAAGCTTTTGTTTGAACTCATTAGTGAATAGTTCGTTAAACAAACCTATTCTGTCTTTGGAATCCTGTGCCTGAAGGTAAATATATAAATAACTATAGCTCCCCTTAGGTGTGAGTAAAAACAATAACGAAATGTCTTACCAAAAGGTCATGTGGTCATTTACTACATAAGTGACTTGTAAAAAAGAATATATGTAGTTCCTCAAACTCTCTTAACTTATGTAATATATGTACATATAAAGCTGTGTGTTAATAATAGTACCTGATCCGGATCTGCAATCAGACCACACAGTAACGCATTAGATACTGTCGCGCCTTCCACTTATTACCATTGGCTCGGTAAATGAGATGCAGGTTGAATGCCACCTCATGCTGCAGTCCCAGGATCGATTCGTGTTCGGCAATCAGAGGATGAACTGGCACTGCCAGAGCCTTTTCGTAGTAAACGACTGCCAAATGCTGAATGTTCGCCTGATGATAGATCCGTCCGATGTTGTAGTAAATTTCCTGCTGGGCAGCGCAATCCGCCAGCTCTGTACCGCGGATCTCAGCTCCATGTAGCGGTTGCCAAAGGCCACCGCCTGGGATACTGCCGCCGCCTTGCGAAGCACCTTCTTCTGCAGCGCCAGCTGGTTGAAAGCCACGGCTATACAGAGGGCCAGCAGGGGATCAGGATTCTCGCGAAGAATGGGCATGTAAATATTTAGGGCGTACTTGAAGGAGCCGCAGTTAAGGTGGTAGTGGCCCTGGAAGATACGCATCGGCTTGGTGTCAACCGGATGGCGGTTCATTAGGCGCCGCATGTAGCGGTAGTAGCGCACTTCGTCGCCACGTTGGATCATCAGTGATAGCATGTTCCACAGGTTTATGTGACTCGGCTGCTTGGCGATCAGCTCCCGCAGATACGAGAAGGCGATGGCACAGTCCTCGTTAAAGTAGCAGGTCAGCACCATGATCCGTTCAATCTCGTGGTGATAGAAGGTGAATCTCTTTGTGGTAACGGTGGCAAAGCATATCTTCTCGGCAGCCCCGTACATTCCATGCTTGAAGGCCGTGCGCACCAGCTCCAGGAAGAGATTGAACTCGTCCTTCACAGTCAGATCGGAAGCCTCGGTGGCGGCACCCTTGGTGGGATCTTGTTGCTCTTGCTCCGCCACGTTGTCCACCGCCATAGATCGCATCTGTATGATGGTCTTCAAGCTGTCCGCATTGTATGCGCTGCCCCCGTTTGCGGCCGCCATCATCTCTTCCCGATTGTACAGCTTTATGGAGTGCCGACTGAGCAGGGCGTAGCCCACATCTAGGAACTCCTCGATGCGACCGATCTGCTGCAGCATCACACACCGTTCGTACAAAAGCCGGGCGATCAGCGGCTGCCCCTCGGCCTCGCCTGGTTGCTCCAGCGCCTCCACGGCTTCCTCATGCCTTCCCTGTTGCTTCAGCAGGGCGGAAAGTGTAAAGCGCGCATCGTAGCAGAAGGGAGCCAGCTGCACCACTTTCTCGTAGCACTGGATGGCCTCGTTGGTGCGGTTCAAATGCCGCAGGCACTCCGCTTGGCGTAGCCATACGAACGCCGGGCATTCGACTGTGTCGCCATCGGTGATCGGACTCATTAACGCAATGGCCTCGGCGTACTTGTGCTCCTGCATCAGTGCCTCCGTGATGTCCATGTAGAGCTCCACGCGATCCGCTGTGAGAGTAATGTGCTCCTGCACATTCTGGATGAGATAGCCCAGCAAATGGTGGGCCCGCATGTGAATAAGGCTGACGCAGAGCTTGGCCCGCAGTTCGGGAACATAGTCATCGGGAATTTCGCAGAAGTAGATAAGCTCCAAGCTCTCTTCCTGGTCGTTCTCCAGCTCGAAGTTGGTGCGCTCTCGGAGGCACCTCAGCACCTTGGCATATTGCTTATTCAGAATGAGCAGCTCCAGGTAGATATTAATATCTTCAAGAGTAAAGCGTACGCCGCACACACTGTACGCCCCCTCCATGGCCTCCAGGGCAAGGGTGTGCTTCTCGAGCACATGGAAGTACCGAGCCACATTCTTGGCCGTACTTAGGCACATCTTCCACTCCTCCGGCGGCATCAGAGGCAACATTTTTAAGTACGTGAACATGGACGCGCTCGTTTCCCCCATCTTCTGCAGTAGTTGTGCCTTTCGCAGTCGCAGCTGGTACACCTTGGGCAGCATCTTGATGGCCTTGGTGTAGATGAGACGGGCGCGGGCCAGGTTGCCCTGCTGCACGAGCAGATCGGATACCCTGATCCACATGTCCCGATCCTGGGGATTCAGGTGCGCCGCCAACGTCGAGAAGTTGAGAAACTTTACCTCGTCGCGGTTCTCGTAGATCTCGGCCAGCGTGTAGAAGGGTTCGCTGGCCAGCGGATTCTGGCGGATGATCTCCATGCAGATGCGCTCGGCGGTCTCGTAGCGTCCGTAGGCAAAACTTAGGTTCGCCTCGCCCATCAGACCCTGCAGGGCGGGGCTTAGTTGGGTCTTGCGAAAGCCTCCGCCGCGTCCACTTCCGCTGGCTGACTGTGCGTCTCGCGGCAGCGGCAGTGGCTTCGAACGACCGGTCGAAGTGCTTGGCAGTTCATCCTTACTGGCGGCATCTGGCTGCTTCTCCTCATCTTCTTCGCCAATGTCCTCCTCGTCATCGTCGCCTGCTTCCAGCTTTGTGCAAAAGTCGGGGAACTCCAGACACTGGACACCCTGAACATACCGTTTAATAAGAGCACCCTCCTCCTCGTCTGCCTCGTAAGGGCGCCTCTCGCCATCGGCGGTGCAGTGGATGATGTCCACCACGCGCAGCGGCTCCGTCTCCTGGAATTGCTCCAACTCGTTCTCCGGCACATCGTTGCTATCGATTTCCTCGATTAAGACCTCGTTCGAGTCCGAGCTAGCCATTTCGCACTTTGATTAATTTTAATATTTAAATTTTATTTATTCATTCGCGTAAACACAGCAACACAATATTTGTAAACAAACCGGCAATGTGACCGTCGCTCAACCGGGAAAACATACCACGAGTTCGAATTTCGAACTTCGAATCAATTGGAGACTTTGATTCCAGTGTTGCAAGTAACCCACAGAAAACGATAAATACCTGCGCGGGCTTTTTAATATTTTATAACATTTAAATTTAAATAAATGTTATTTAATAATGAAATACTTCCACATCTCGCCCGAGATTAACTAACAATTAAATTAAGTGCTAAATAATATTTAGGTACAGGAAAATACTCATCTTAGGTACAGGAAAATACTTAAACTTCTCTCTTATAAAAAAAGCATATCATAATGTACCGTTAGTTTTAATATTTTAATTGCATTTCGTTCCTCATGAAAAGAAAACTCTGTGGAGACTTTGATTCCAGTGTTGCAAGTAACCCACAGAAAACGATAAATACCTGAGCGGGCTTTTTAATATTTTATAACATTTAAATTTAAATAAATTTTTTTTAATAATGAAATATTTCCTTATTTCGTCCGAGATTACCTATCAATTAAATTAAGTGCTAAATAATATTTACAAAAATTTTTCTTAGGTACAGGAAAATACTTAAACTTCTCTCTTATAAAAAGCATATCATAATGTACCGTTAGTTTCAATTTTTAATTGCATTTCGTTCCTCATGGAAAGAAAACACTGTGGCTCCCAAGTACGTTTTTAAAAGTTCTTAAAAGTAAGGGATTTTATAGTACATTTATGGCATATAATTCGGCAAATCCGTAATTCCGCGAATCTCCATCGACGCCATTTTTCGTTCGCCAAAAGCGCGTCTCTTCCACTTCAGTTTCAACTTTCAGAATATTGTGTTAGTTTCTCGTTTTAGCCGATCCAAAAAAAAAAAAAAAAAATGCATACCAACGTGAATTTGGAGCTGGTGAGTGTTTGAACAGACAATTTAGAGAGTGTAATAGTAACTGTAAGTGACTTACAGTTAGATCAACAGCTGTCGCAAATCGCTTACAACGCCGATCTACATAAGAAAACCATGTTTCTATTGGACGAAGCAAAGTCTGAGACTGACGAGGGCCGAGTCAAGCCGGTTGACCCGTTGGCCAAGAAAAAGCTGTGAGTTTTTCCCTATTGTTAGATTCAGTCTCAAGACTCACATACAAATCTTCTCCAGACTCCTAACGCTGATGCACAGTCTGCCACCCTTTCCGCCAAACTTAGAAATGCTGAAGGGCCTCGCCTCTGAATTCTCAGATTCCGATTTGATTTCCAAGAATCCTATTTTCGCGGAATATCTTTGCACGCGGAGCCTGGAGTTCTACAACGTGTGCTCTGTGATGCGGACACTGCTAACCATCGAAGACCTCTCCACCATGCAGCTGTATGCCCGGCTGATTCAAAAGGATGTGGCCGTGCACCGGGTTTCCAAATACAGGTTCCAAGTAGCCCTTTCAAACACGGCAATCAATGCCGAGGACGTAGTCTCACCCCATATGGATGAGGTAGTGCTGGTGCCCAAGTCCAGCCTAGCAGCTTCTCCGTTGCCCAATCAATCGATACTGTCCCTGCTGCCGCACCCGCACGAAAATCTGGATTTGAAAGATCCGATGCGCCGTCACGTGGTCTCAGTGGAACAGGTGACACGTAACTGTGTCCACTTCCGTTTCAGCCGCCGTAACTTTCCGGGAAAGATCTACCTGATAAGTCAGCGCTTTCATGTGATCCTACGCTCCAGCCGCATACCCTTCCGTTACATGTACCGTGCTCTCAACTTGCTCCAGGAGATGCCAGTAATGCGTCGCTACCTCTATCCCTTCCCTGGCTGGCTGACCGAAATGCTGAACAACTCGATGATCCACTTTCGCAATGTGAATGCCTGCCCACCTGGATGCGGGCGCAGCCTGTGACTCAGTACACTCCAACAGAGTCCCTTTCGTTGTTGAACCCGACCATATACAACAACGCCGAGCAGTTGCAGGCGGTCCAGAGGATTGTGGCAGGACCCAATCCGAATGGACCTTATATTGTATTCGGACCACCAGGCACTGGCAAAACCACAACCATTGTGGAGGCCATTTTACAGCTGCGCCTTCACCAACCGCGAAGCCGCATTCTTGTTACCGCCGGTTCGAACTCCGCCTGCGACACGATCGCCCTGAAGCTGTGTGAGTATATCCAGACCAATGCCCGTCTACGTGAACACTTTGCCCAGCAGGAGAAGCCCTCGGCGAATCACCAGCTGATCCGTGTTTTCTCGCGTTCCTTCTACCGTAAGGGACTTAAGACTGTGCCGGCGCTCCTCCTTAAAAACTCCAACTGCTCGAATAATGGATATAAGCACCTTAGAGTTTCACACATACTCGAATACGGTATCGCGGTGGCCACTCTCTGCACCGTGGGACGCTTTCTGTGCGACAAACTCGGTAAGTACAACCACTTTACCCACATATTCATCGACGAAGCCGGTGCTGCCACGGAGCCAGAGACCTTGATCGGGATTATGGGTGTGAAGCAAAGCGTAGACTGTCATGTCATCCTATCCGGAGATCACAAGCAGTTGGGTGCCGTCATCAAGAGCAATCGCGCGGCATCCCTGGGCTTAAGCCGTTCTTTGATGGAGCGCCTCCTTCGCTCCGAATCCTACAAGTTAGATGACAACGGAAACTACGATCGCAGTCTGCAGACGCGTCTGCGTCAGAACTACCGATCCCATCCGGAGATCGTGCGCCTATTCAACCAACTGTACTACAACGGCGAATTAATCCCAAGGCTCCCGCCTCGGAGGTTAACCACGCAGCCAAGTGGAAGCTTCTGCCCAACGGGGCCTTTCCGATCATCTTCCAAGCCACTCACGGAGTGACCAAGCGGGAAGAGCACTCAACAAGCTCGTACAATCAGCTGGAGGCTCAGGTTGTCTGCTGGTATGTGAAACGTCTACTTAACGAGGGCCTGGGCAAGGGAAAGCTGGTTAGCCAGGAGGATATAGGAATAGTTGCTCCATACACGGGTCAGGGTAAATTGATAACCCGACTGCTGTTGGCCCAGGGACACGCAAACGTGGAGGTGGGCAGCGTGGAGACCTATCAGGGCCGCGAGAAGCCCATCATTATCGCCAGCCTGGTGCGCTCCTTTGCCAACATGGGATTCATGCGAAATCCTCGCAGGGTTAATGTCCTCCTATCCCGAGCCAAATCGTTGCTGATACTAGTTGGCAATCCGGTCACCCTGCGCCACCACAAGGACTTTAAATTGATCATCAAGGAGTGTAAGCATCAGGGCACATATCTCTTTAAAAGAAAGGATTCCGGGCAGCAGCCACAATTCTTGCCAAACATGGAGGAGGAGGAATCATCCGACGAGGAGACAAACAGTGAACTGGACACTTGGGACGAGCGCACACCATGGTTTGCCAAGATGCCGCTGGACATTAGTGTGCGGGTGGACACAATGGAAGATCTGATGACCGATGACGGTAAGAGTTCCTGTATGGAAATGCCATATATATATATATTGAACACTCCTTTCTTTTGTTTTTAGAAATCGGCTCCGAAGAAGCCTCAGGCACTACAGATTCTTCCAGAATCAGCTCCGCCAGTCTACAGGCTCGCATGGATGTCAATACGCAAGAACTGGAATGTAAAATTGCTCAGTTATCCATGACAATGAGACATCCAGTGTGAGTTGGAGATAAAGTTTAATCCAAGACGTATGTAACTAGTGAGTAAGGACAGGTCTCGGGGGGCTGGGATATACCTCTAGAAGAGTACCAAAAGTTAATTTTCAATGTTGCTGAAGCAAGCAGTAAACACCTCCATCGCTATCTGTAGAACAGGCAAACATGAGTTTCTTGCACATTTTTTTTTTTATATTCATGTAGTAAAATATCATTTACAAATATGTTTGATGAAATATTCCACATTATCGAGCTGTGAACGAAAGAGAAAGAGAAAGATATTCGATATAAGAAATGGACTAAAATAATGATCCCATCATATGAAAGGGTTAGGGAGCCAACTTGGACGTTTTAAACCAAAGTTTTATATTCGTATATATATATTTAAGCAGTGTCTGTATAATTAGTAAAACGATTACAAAATACAAATACAATGGAGTTGCTGCGTTAGGTTTTTGAAAAATGTGTTTAAAAATAGTTTCGTTTCTGCACGATGATTACGTAACGTATTAAATTTTTTTTTCAACGCTTTCTCGATGAAATTCGTTCAGTCTTTGTTATTATTCAACAACTTTGTTAAAGTGTTTAAAATTGATTGCGTCGTTTGTTCGCTTTTTTTTCATTGTTTTGTTTGCTTCGCCAATTCTATATGTGAAATATAATTTCAAGTTTAGTTGATTAAAGTTTTTGTTCGATTTAAAAAATAAACCCTCGTGTCTCGCTCGATTTTGGTTTGTATTAAAATATATATTATTATTATTATTATTCTTTATATAAGCTGTTTGGGTGTTAAGGTCTCCTCCGTAAACAACTACATTTGGTATATATCAAGAGCTCCGCCTCCTGCAAGGCAGGCCTCATCTGCGGAGACTTGGTGTTCTGTGTGCCTTCGTTTTTTAGTGTTGCCAGCTACTGAGCTACGTGGGGGTTAAACTATCTCTTTAGAGTACCATCCGCCGCACTCCGCAATCCATGCAGAACTTGGCGTGCTCAATGATGAACTTGGCGCCACACTCGTGACAGAATTTCGACATTTTCATACTCGAAGACATGGAGTTGTTGGACGTGTTACTCAGCAGAGAGTGTTGAGAAATTGTTGGTGTCATCGGTATGTTGTTGTTTACGGTGTAAGTTGGCTGGGATGGCTGATACTGCTGCTGCTGATAGTTGTAGTTGCTCGCCTGCTGTTGCTGCTGCTGCTGCTGCTGTATGGGCTGCTGTGAATTCTCCTCCGACCCACTGCTGTAGGACTCGGCACCTTCACCATTGCCATTGCTGCCACCACCTGCTGAGCCGCCATTGCCAAAGAGGCGCTGACGTGCCTTGAGTGTACCGTACTGGGTTTGTGCCTGCGTGGAAGCATCCGACGTAGTACTGGGCAACTTGGCGCTGGCCGTATGTGGACGCAAGAGTCCCTGGGAACGGTGCAAAGGGCCTCCAATAGGTTGGAGTTCACTTGAGCGCTGACGGGACAAGCTGTACGGAGAATTGCTGCTGCAATTAATAAATAAATTAAAAGAAAAATTATGAAGTCACATTTCAAGGAAACAATAGCTCACCTGCCGTATGCAGAATCCGAGCTCAGCTTAGAGCTGGCTCCGCGGCGGGAGGACTGCGACGATGACATGGGATATCCATCCAGGCTGCTAAGCTCATCCGAATCCGCCGATGGCGATGGTGTTAAAGGAGAGTTGGCCTTTACATGCTGCTGCTGCTGCTGGTGCTGACCAGCTTCCTGATCTCTAAACTGTTGTTGCTGGTGCTCCTCCGATCGCCCACTATTTAACATCAACTGACGACGCACAGAAGCGCTGGCCTCCTCGCCCAGCTGCCGGAAATCGCTTTGCATCTGCTGCATCAGATTCTTGGCATTGTTCAGCTGTACGTTGGGCGCCAGTGTGGATGCATTCAAGGATTGGGCCAGCCTGTTGGTGTTAGCATTGCTGCCCAACTGACTAGCCCGATCCCCGGACTCATGGCCTGCGTCCTCCGTATCGCTGATCTTGCTAAACCTTGCGTGCTCCGGCTCGTTTCCGTTCTCTATGTGCAGCACATCGATGGGCGTCTGCGGATTGCCAACCATGTGTCGCAGTGACTCTGGCGAAATGGGCGAACGTCCTTGCGCATTGGCCTCGGTCTCAATGCTGATGAAGATTTCGCGCTTCTGCTGATCCTCGGCATCAGCCCGCCGCTCTATCTCTTGGAAGCGACTCTGCTTCTCCTCGTGGCTGCTGCTGGTCCTAGAGGCATTCGATTGCTGGCGCTGCAGGCGCTCCTCCGGCTGGCTCTGGCTGGTCATGTTCACATCGGACCTGTGGGTGGCGTGGGCGTAATTATCTTTGCTCTTGGACTGCTGGCTGTGTGGCTGTGGGTTGGTCTGTTGTGTGGCTGTCTGTGGCGTCGAAGTCGCTGCTTTCTGGAACGAGCGGTGTCTGCTCGTCGAGCGATTCAGAAGGAACTCCCGACAGTCCTTGAACAGCGGGAACTGCTCGTCGTCATTCTCGTTCTCGAATGAGGAGAGGAACTCCTCGAAGTCAAAGTCGTCGAAGGTGGGCATGGCGCTGTGCACCATGGGCATGACCAGCGGCAGGGGATTAGCTAGCAGTTGCTTCTGCTGCTGCTGCCAGCATTGCTCGTCGTACTCCATCGAAGATCGATTGGCCTCGTCGTCTGCCGAGCAGCCCGAAGAGGCGTCCGCATCCTCAGGCGAGGCATCATACAGAAATTGGTTGCGCCCGAGTCGCATCTTTCGCTTTAACAGGTTCCTGGCCTCGCCAGATTGCCTTCGTTCGTGGGTAATGGTTGATTGGGAGCTGCTCCTGCTCCTGCTCTGCGATAGCTGTTGCGGGGTGGAGCTGGCATCCGAGGATATACCGCTGTTCACATGAAGATTATCGCAGGCATTTATCAACTTCGGATCTATGTAGTCCCCGGCCACTGAGCCAGCTCCTGATACTGATCCCATTCCCGATCCCAATTCCCTTCTGGTGCCGAAGATGCTCTCCAGCTTGATGGGAGTGAGCGGCGAGGGCTGTTGACTGACCATCATAGATGGCTTGTTGCATATCGGCTCCAAACGCAGAGGTGTGGCTACGGGAGGGTAATGGTTCTCTTTAGCCAACGTTGGCGAAGGTGGCACCGCTCCCGTTGGGGTCAAAGGTGGCAACTGTGTAGGAGTACTTTGGCCCAAGCTCTTGGCCGAGTTCTGTTTGCTCAGCGTGTTGCTCTTGTCCTTCAGCTCCTTGCTGGTCAACTGGCTAGCGGTGGCCAGCTCCGCTGCCTTGGCATTCAGTTGCTCTAGCTCGTGTTCGTACTTCAGGAACACTGCCAACGAGTCCGTTTTGGCCACAGTGCGAGTGGGCTGAACGGAAGAGGCTGCGCTACTACCTTCGTTGGTTCCAGTAACTGGCAACTTAAGTGGTTGCTTGCGGTTGGAGGCACTCGTGTCGCGGCGGACAACACGCGGACTGTGGAAATCATTGCCGCAGGCAGCTCTCACAGGCATCTCGTCGTACTCTTCTGGCTTTAAGAAATTCGTGGAGATGGGACCCTCATCCGAGAGACCGCGCTGGATGGTAGGGCGGTAGTTGGTGGCGAACAGCGGACGACTGTTCAGAAGAGGAACGTTACGCCGCGGTCCGCGCAGGGACGAAGTGCGTCGGAAATTCGAGGTAGACGTCGACGTCTTCGAAGCAATCTGTACCGGCTTGCTGCTACCCGTCGAGGTCAACGATGTGGACATGGCGATACTAGGTGTGGCTGTCGCTGTGGGTGTCAGGATGGATTTGATGGTAGTCACCTCCTCCTCTGGCGGCGGCGTGCTAGGCGAGCAGAGCTCTTCAAGCTGGCGCTTGGCCGAGAGAAAGGGATCGTACTTGTCGCCGAGGCCGCTGTTTAAAAAGAATATAGCAATGAATAAAATAAAGCTTAGGTAACCACCCATATGTGCTCTGTCTGGCTGTCGTCATAGTCTGGGGAGGATTAACTGGGATTAATAGACCTTTAGGTGGTTACAAACCTGCGCTTGGCTTTGGGACTCGACTTGATATATACGGTGCCATTCTCATCCTGCTCTACGATTAAACGGCGACTGATGTTGCTGTTCTGCTTCACCAAAGGAGGCAATCTTAGCACCTGCTCCTCCTCTACGTACTCCTCGTGCTCGTCGCTTTGGTTATCCTCTTGGTCGCGACTGCGACTTAAACTGGATGCGGGGCCTTCCTCTTCGTAGTCCAGGTCACTGTTATAATTATCCACGTCTTCTGCCTCCTGGGCGTACTCTGACCTATCATTTCCCATCTTCAAGCTTGGCAATACTGTGTGCTCCATAGATTTGTTAATAGCATCAAGACTCTGCTTCAATCCGGGCAAGGCCAAAGCTCGCTTGGGCTCAGAGTGGTTTATCATACGAACACCATGCCCCGATCTCTTTTGGGGTCTGCACACGGTGCGCATGGTGGTCGCCTCCAGCTTAATCTGGATCTCTGCCCGCGGAGAGTCAACGTCGTCGTCATCGGATCCAGAATAATTGGAACTGCGCTGCAAGGGCATCAAGCTGGAATCAAGACTTTGCAGTCCGAGGTTCGGACTCTCCCGGGTGCTAATGCGCCTGCGTGCCTGGCGCACCATTGAAGCTGATGTGGTAGAGCGCTCTTTGGTAGTGATTTCCTGCTCATCCAATTCCAAATTGCAGATGGGTGTGCCTCCTGAGCAGGCAGAGCGCAGCATGCGGGTTGGAGGGAGGTCGGTGATGGTGAATTAGGAAGGGTTTTTAATTAAGGTCTCTAATACCCTGGGGAACCATGTAAAATAAAGTCTAGAAGATGTGACCTCAAGAAAACTAAACTAACTAACTTTAGGGATAGTTCTTGATTGTCATTATTTGTTTGAAAATATTGCTTCTGTTTTTATCTGATTCTCCTGGCTTTGTTTCAGATTCAACTTTCTGAGATATCTTAAGAGAATAGTTTAAAGATTCTTAATTTCATAAATACTATTTTTAAAAGAATTTCTACTTTGCCTCCTCGCTTGATTCTATATTTTGTCTAGAACATCCTATCACTTGTGCTAGTCCACCTCGTCACCCTTGGCTACATTTATTCTATAATTCCTAAACATCTTTAAAAGTCCATCCCAACATGGATGCACTGGCTGAGCTTAATGCTCTGCTGATCTTTTGAATACGCTTCGATGCGGCGCACACTAATTAACGATCATGAAGTGGTTCCGGGTTCTTAGATCTTTAGTTAATTGGGAAACTGCATGCCACGGTCAGTGGAAGCACGTGCTCTGGCCCAATCCCCACCCATAAATGCAGTTCCATACCTTTGCGCTTGATCAAGCCGTTGAGCTCATCGAATGTCATTGTGACTTGGGGAAGACTTGATAGGTTAAGCTCCTTGTCGATTCCGTCGACTTCACCCCTCTTTATAACGGCCCGGCGGGTCTTGGACTTCGGCTGGAGCATTGGCGCGTCATTGCAGTCCAATGTGGCCAGCTTGAGGGAATTACGTTTGATCCGGTCCATGGTGTCATCGATTTCGCTGCAGGTATCAACCAACTGTTTGCGCTTGCTTAACCGGCGGCTGGAAGTAGACGTCCGCACACTGGACGCCGGCGAAGAGGCCACATCCTCATCGTTGGACATGTCCAGAGTAACCTGGTTCTGGGTGACCTTGGTGCCTGCCCTCCCACGGGTCTCCTTGGTCGGGGCAAGTGAAGTTCGTGCTTTGATTACTTTAACGCTGAGGAGCATTGAGGATGAGTGAAGATCGCTGGCTAGAGGACTAACTACAGTGTGTATTTGGATCTACGCGACGGTGGCTAGCAAATGATTACAAGTACTCCAAACAGGGGATTAGTCAACGACAACGACTAAGCAACGCCAGAAGAGCATCGGGGAGGTTAAAACTAACTATCTGCTATAGATCTATCTCTACGTCCATACTCACTTATCACTGTGCACGGACGACGTCATCGATAGCGACATCATGTTGGGCTTGGGCGCCGACATGTCTCCTGCTTCCAGCAGTTCCTCATGGTTTCCAGAGTACTTATCACGGGCAACGGATCTCTTAGTTCTGGCAAACATCGCAAAATATTGGTTACAAGCAAAACATAAAAACACGAAAAAGAGAAACAAAAAGGTGTACATATGAATGTGTGCGATCTGACAAGTGTCAACTGTGGCCAGGCTTACTTCAGATTGGGAGGCTTGTACTGCTTCCTGGCCTCCAAACGCTCCTTCGCCTTGCTCGTCTCCTGGCTGTTACTTGACTTCATGTTTGCCTGGATGGCCTTCTCCTTGCACCACTCCACGTGACGGTCGAATGCCTTGGGATTAAAGGTGCGCTCGCAATGAGGACACCGATCGCAGGCCGGAGCCTTGATGCGCTTGGCTTGGGAACGTTCACGCACCGATGTCGGCGGCGGAGCAACGGGTGCTGCAGGTGGCGTCTCGGTGGACGATGAGTTCGAGACTGTAGATGCCGCCTTGCGCAACGAAGCGCGAGCCGTGGTACGTGGGAAACTCTGGGCCTGCAAGGGGGAAGTTGAAATTATAAGAGATTCTGTTATATTGTTCCAAAATAACCCTTTTCCAATGGCTTAATCGAATCAAACCTAAAACACACACTCACCTCTGCTGGAGTGGCAACCACCGGTGTGGTCACTGCAGCCGGCGAAACTGGAACTCCCACTGTGCGTTCAGCATTGGGAAGGCCAAAGTTCTTTGGCAACACATAGGTGGAGAGCGCTGTACCATCGCGGCGTTGGCGGGACGAGTCGAATACCTTGCGCTTCTTGGAGGTTTTCTCGCAGATCACGATGTGCTTGCGTAGAGCATCCAGGTTGAAAGTTCGGCTGCAACAGGGACATGGTGTCAGGTCGCCGCTGCTTTGGGGTGGAGCATGTTCCGGGAGTGGCGATCCAGTTGTAAGTGGTGGCGGCGGCGAGGGCAACGGATCCTCATCCGCACCCTGCATAGAGTCTTCCACAGCGGAATCCGTGGTGGCGGTGGTGGTCGCTGCGCGAGATGGATAGGGGAAAAATTGAGATTTTAATATCTGTTTTTGGGGTTTCAGTAAGACCTTCGACGAGCTTGTCGTGGAATGTTAGTGAAAAAGTAGAACAGACAGGAGCAGCAAACTGGGAGTCATTTTATTTTGGGTTAGTTCGACAAAGTGTTTAAAAATCAGCTCACAGATCACCCAGCTAGCTGGGAGCACAACGAATCCGAGTCACATCCAAAAGGGCTTGCCTTGGCATGGAGTCTAGACTCTAGAGGGAAAGTTCGTGCTCCAAGGAAAAGCCCTGTCACTTTCCCAGTGGAAATGGCTGGCGGCCAAGTGAAATGAAGTGCTCTGCATTTGCTGGCAGATTCATGGTCGATTGTCTTTTTTTTTCGGGCGACAAATTGTTTGCCTCCACTAATAAATTCCCCAAAATCGGAGACAATGGAGCAGCGGGTCCCAGCCCCAAAGTAATTTATTGCTATTATTACGGACCTTCTTGGCGATCAGCCTATAAATTTTTATTTATCTGCCGGCCGCGGAGTCTGATGAAATGTTGTTGTATCCAAATCGGGCAGCTGGTCCCCGCCAAAAACGCTTATTATTTTGTGCTCTGCATTTGGCCCGTGGGCGGGGATTGCCTCTCGAAGAGCAAATGTCGAGGCTCCATCATTTGGCAGGTGGTTCTCGGTGTCTTCCCACGGACGGCTTGGCACTTAATTCATTGATCTATTTTCTTATTGTTCACATTTTAATTGAGGTTAAGACAGATGAAGGAATTCACTTAAGTGCTGGACAACGTTCGTTTTTAAGGAATCGTTGTCAGTGTTTGGGAATTTTGTAACCAAGTTTATTGGTTAAATATGATTTTAGAATTAAAAAAAGACAACCTTAAGGTAATCAGAAGTAAATTAGAAAGGTTTCCTTTTTAATTAGTACATTAAAAAACGTTTAATAGTAATCACAACATTTTATTTTAGCTGATCTCGACAACATGGCTCCTATTGGCCACATTTTCGTTATTCAATACTGCTCAAGCCGGATTTTGCCTATCGTTATCGAAAATGTGTATTATCCCGAAACGAAATGTGAAAAATCTTCAACTCTTCTGCAAAAGTGAGACATAATAATTAGAAGCAGAACATTGGCAGCATATGGAGAGCTGGTGGAATTATCAATGAAGTGAAGGCGGGCCACTAATCACAGAGACGAAGGAAATCCAATTATAATGCGGGGCCAGGCAGCCGCGAACTGGCAGTTGGATGGCGATTACATCAATCAACCACACGCACAGGCAGAGAATCCGCAACATCTTGAGGGCGCTGCTGTCTCATTTCCATTTAAATCAATGCAAACCCGTGTTACGCATATTATTCAGATGAATGTTACATACAACGCGCTGGGAAGTGGGTGAGTTGAACTATCCACACATATCTTTTCAGTATCTGTAATCTGTCTTGTGCTAATGACGCTCTGAATATGTGATGTTTGTACATGCATTATGTAGGTATAGATGTATGTGCATAATGCTACTTGAGATCTTTAAAAATAACAACAGCAGGGCCTCCACGTCCAATCGGATCGTTAGCAGATCTCCTCGCTGGGAAAGGGATCTTGAGATGGTCAAGAGTATACTAGATCAAAAGTTGAAAGCCATTCAGGCGGGTGATGAATGCCACTTTGAATCTAGTATGAATATGATGTTCCTGCTTGCACAATACCAGCCCCAGCCCCTGGACCCGTATTTGGATTTTGTTAGTTTGTGGCGTCTAGTCTTTAGTTTTGTGGTCTTTGTTGCTTTCTAGCTGTTGTGTTTTGTTGGGCAAGCTCCATAAGCCACTTAAGTCTTCTGTGGGCCCATAAATGTGTGTGTGTGTTTCGATGTATGCAATATGGTACAAGTGTAATACAAACAGTTTCCCCATTTCCCAGACGACGGGGTTTCAGGTTCTCGGCAACGCTCTGAACTTTCAACTCTTTGACACCTGAGTGCGGAACGGGCATTAAAATTAAAACCCAGGACTGGTCACCTCGTACTGGGAAAGCTTTGGGAACCAAACTTGTTTACACTTGGGCAAAATATCACCTAAATAAACAATGGGGTCCTAGGTTCTAAGAAAATTTCGAAATTAGCAGTAGTAATAAAAGATATATTGCATTATATAGAATCTATGATTTAAAATCATTGTGTAATCAACTAAAACAATGCGATTACTGCTAAAATATGTGAATATGAATGTACCAAATTGTCTTTAATGTGTGTAATTATGATTTATAGAGAACACAAAAAGTATTGGTTTGATTTTATAAGCAAATTTACGCTTTTTCGAGAAGTTTTCTGTAAAATCAACATATTTATTTGGTTTTAGCTATTAGAATGTATGTTATTTTCGTTTCTCGCCATTAATCAAAGCTCCTCGATTTCAGTTTTATTCATACAAACCGAAGGTGACATCATTTGATAGCTTCAAACTGGGACTGATAAGCGAAAGGAGTCAGCAAAGAGGTCATCCCGAAGGCAGGCAGAGATTAAACAATGGGAACACACACAGACGCAGGAGTTGGCTTTCACCATACAGGTAAGTAGATCACTTAACAGATCAATTAGTTGTTAATTTGCGTTTGAAAATTACTTGATTTATCTGCTGTTGTGCTTGTTACTGTTGGACTCGCATGCAAATGGTTAGTTTGATGGTTAGTGGCCACATCGATCTTATTGACAACGATTAAGACGCGTTGCATTGATTGATTTGTTAATGCTGCTGCCGTTGTTGCTGCACCAGTTACAATTGCATCTGCATTTATTGCTGTTGCTGCGCCCTTTTCGGGGGGCGTGGCCGACTCACTTGACTTGGCATTAAGCAGCTGTTTCTTGTTGTTGTTGCCGCGTTTGAGGGAAAATGTGTTGCGAACGCGCGAAAATGTGGACAGCTGTTGCTGGTGTTGCTGTTGCTGCTGCGGAGATTGCTGATATTGCTGCTGCCGCTGCTGCTGCTGATGCGCCTCACTAAACTCCAGCGAGTTGAAAGAACTTTGCCGCGGTTGCTGCTCAAAAACGTTAATGCTGCCATTCCCATTTCCACAGCCATTGCCATTTCCATTTCCATGCTCATTTTCCTTTTCGTTTTGGCCCTGATCGTTGAAACTTAGCTGCGGTTTTTCACCGGCCAGCAGATCGTTTAATTGCTGGTACTCCTCGTAGATGCCCCGGCTATGCCGCTTGTTGATTTTCGCCAAGGCTGCTGCGGCTTCTGCGATTTGGATTTGAAAATCTTATTCCACATTTTCTTGCTCATCTTGAGGCCTTCTATCCCTGCTTCGTTTTCGGTCTTATTCACTTATTTTTAAATGCATTTCAGGCACACACCGCGCACACCAACTCGCTTTCGGTTGAACTTCACGCGCCGGCTTCTCGTGCTCAACTGAGTAACAGTCGCTAGCAACATTCGAGACAAAGCTCTATCTCTAGCCGCAACGGCAACATGTTGCCTGCCCGTGCGCATTTTGCATGGAATTAAAAATAGTTGCACTCCAGTTTTGGCCTGGGTGTGGGTGTTGCTGTTGCTGTTGCTCTTGCTATAGCCATCAACAAAGGCCACGATTCTTTTCCGACTCCCTCGCTCTCAACGGATTTTAGTTGTCGGCACACAGAACAAAAAATGTGAGCGATTTTAAATGGTTTTCGGGGTGTCGGAGTTTTGTATAAGCATTTCTTAATGAGGTTTAATACTAATTAGCTAGATTTGGATTTTAAAGATGTTAATTTGTATTTGTTATGGGTTGTTACTTAGAGTCAGGGAAAAGGGATTTGAATTTTAGCTATTAAAACACAAACATCTGATCAAAGACATAGATTGGGATATGTATTTCAAAGGATATTCAGGCCTTTTTATTAGTATCTTTAACAGATCTTTCTCACTTGAATGTCGATGAGAAAATCATTTAGATACTTTTTCTTTCCGTGTGCTGGTGGCTTTCCCTTTGCCTGTCTTTACGGCTGATTTATTTAAAGCCGCCGCCGTTGCCGTCGCCATTGCCACTGCTTTCGACGTCAAATGTTGCTGAACCCTTGGCTGCTTAGACATCATTCATTCACCGCTCTCCTCTGGCAGAATGACGACTCCCGAATTCCCCTTTTCTAAATTGAAACATCAGCCGGTTGAAATCTTTGTTGCGGGCCATCAGTCAGTCAATCAGATGAGTTAAGCAGCGACTTCAAAGAGCGCTCATTTCCTGGCTAATGGGGAATCGGGACCACGACCACGACTGGGTGTAGTCAGCAGCCCCCACACACATGTGCAATTATGTCCACTTTTGGTGCATGAAAAACATTCACTACCCGCTCTTGTTGCATAAGTGTGTCAAAAAAGGTGGACGCAGTTGGAGTTGGTTCAGCAGCAGGAGCAGTACCGATCGGCAACATTTGCGCGACCTTAGCAACATTCAGAGTGTTGCAGGCGCTTCACATAAATAAACAACTGGCCGCTGAGTTGGAGACACAATCGCTCGAGTTTTAATATGAATCGGGGAATCACAGCTAAGTAACTGAGTTGGAAAATTAGACAGGGAAGATTTGCTTGAAAAAGTTGGGTATACGACCAAGAAAGTGGGAAAAGAACTCAAGAAGATTTAAAGATTCCAAGACGTGTTTTGTTATCCCTGTATGTAGCTATATTTTTAAATCAAATTATCAATTCTTTATAGTTATTTTATGTATGTATAAGCTTTAGAACCTATTGGTTATATTCAAAGTCTCTCATCAAATAATCGTTACCATTTAATCTATGATATCAAAATGGGGTTTTAAACTTTGAATAATTAATTGCTAACCTAATCTATTAAATATCTCTATTTCTATTTCAATAATTTATGCTAGACTATGTTTTTGTGCTTAACCCCATGACAGCCTGCTTAAGGTGATCTCTCCATGGCAGTGCATTCCATATTCGTCTTTCGCCTACGTCAGCTTTGCCTTATTCGTCGTCATCGTCGTCGTCGCCATCAGTCTCCTCTTCCACATCGCGTTTCGTTTCTGTGTTTAATTGAAATGCGAATGCACTTTTGAGCATCTCGGGCCGGCACAAACGATCCCCATTTGTTGACGCTGTAAATCATGGTATATATTGCAGCATCCGTTCCGAGATCCAAGTCAGATGTGTGACGTCAGAGGGAACCGTGGAGCACTTTGCTTATGCAAGTCTCCTTGCCATAAGGCCAAAAACTTTGATATTTGCACGTGCCAAAAGCAAAGTAGAGAGTCATGAACTTGAGTCAACGTTGCTGCCTGCCTGCCCATTCCCTAGTTTTGATATTTATATCTTATTTATCGAACCAACAACGCTTCCTTCCTCAAGGGTGAGGAGGAAGAGGAGGAGATGTGGGAGTGGGTGGCGGTGTTTCTTTTTTGGGGGTGCAGGCGGCATCGTTTGTGGTCGCCCACGCGTCGCGACTTTGAGTCTTGGATAATCTCTTATAATTGTCACGCTTTGAGAGCGCCAAACAAAAATAGAAAAATCTGTTGCAGTTGCATATGGATGATATTGTAGATCTGCTGCATATATCTCGCTCTGGCGATTTTCACTTTTCCGATTTTCACGGTGCCTGCCCTCAGGAAGTGGTTACATACATATAAAAGGGGCGCGTGCGTATTAATAGCCTAAGTTCTAGATGATGTGTAGATGGCATTTTGGGGGCAAGGCGGCGACACGACCGAAAAACTATATATTCATAAAATAGAACTAAAAAATTAATGTTTCCTTTGCACTGTAAGAAAGTGGGGATAATGAGGATAAAGTTTATTGCTGAAAGGTAGTGAAAATCAAATTGAGCTTGAAAGGAGTAGGGAAAATCATTGTTATATGATATTCTGTTGGAAATTCTCGAATTTAAATGTAGAATTATATTTGATATACATGCTATCAACTGCCTTCAGCTCCCAAGTCCCCTCTCTGATATCTAGAAGATCTATTAGATCTATAAATATTATGCTAGTGCACTCTTGGCGACATTTCAGTGGCCCTTTAGGAGAAGTACCTTCACACTGGCCCCTCTCATTTAGAGCCAACTTCCCTTGCCCTCTAAGGCACACACACTCACACACACTTGGTGTATCAACAACAACATAAGGCCGTCGTATTTTCCACTAATTAAGTTCTATTTCCTTCGCTCGACTCCTCCTTCCTGTCCCCCGATCATCTATCTAATGAAACCATTTCAGTTCATTGGCGCTCCCGACAAAACAAATTTCGATGGATGTTTTTTGTTTTTGTTTGCTTCCATCGAACGCATTTTGCAGATTGCACAATTTTCTTTCAGTTTTCATTTTGAGTTTCTTTTTTTTGTATTTTTCTCGGCATTTTTTTGTGTGTTTCTGTCTTCGGTTCTGTTTGTAACTGAATGAGTTCGATGTTGTTGCAACAAATTGAAGTTGATTTGTGTGCTGATTGCTTTTTAGAAAGTGTGAAAAAATCCAATACGATTTTCAGTGTTTGTTTCAATCTTTTGTTTTGCATTTTTTATTATTTGTGTTTTTTATTTGTTTCTCTTTTAAGGGAGTGTGAGTAGAATTAGGCCGTTAATTGAGGTAGGTAATTTTCAATTGGATTTGGAGCACAAATCGATCGATCGATGGGCGAAGCCAAACGATTAGCGATTCAATTTGTGAGGAGATTAAACCATTAAATGTTTAAGGTGTTATTTTATTTGAATTAATTTGCTTTAATGTTAATTGTCGGAATGTATTTTAACAGTAGATTTATAATTACACTCATTACAGCTTCATGCTACAGATAAACAAAGTTTTTGATTTGATTTTAATGAGTTGAGATTTGAAATAAATGGCTGAATAGCCGTACTTGGCATTTGAAAACACGTAATAATTTAAAAAAGCATTAAATATATAATTTACTTATAATTTAATAGTACTATTACTCATAAAATTAAAAAACCAAAAAAGTAGTAGGTCGATTTCAGCACGGCAACATTGGTAGCTGCTTATTGGCAAAGCTTTTTGTGGTAGCTTTCCGCATTTGGCGGCACTTTTCAGCTTTTTGTTTATTTTCAAAGCTTGTTATTTAGCAAATAATGTTCGACCATAAATCTTGATTTCAATTGGACATTTAATTGCGAAACTGCAATTCATCAATGACAAATTTGTCGATCGGAGAGAACTCATCCCTAACACAAAGAGACAGAGTCTCCCTCTGACTTGCAAAATATATTGAAAACGGGTTTGTCAAAGCCAAAAACTGGTTGGGATTTTTGAGTTTGTTGGAATTCATTCTATGTTTATTGCTGTAGTATAAAAACTTGTAAACAAGCGTCGGCACTAAATGTGGTTCAATGTCAAGGAAATCCAACGGATTAGCCGCGAGAGGGAAGTCAGCTTCGAGTGGGCCGAGGGAAGTGGGTCAAAAGCCGCCACATGGCGATCGTTTAAGCCATATCTATGCACACTTGGCCGGGTGACAATGGAATAGTTTTTCTCTACTTATTTATTAGCATTATCGGGTCGGGTGGGGGACTTGTTAAAACTGGCACGCAAAACTGCCGGCCAGACGTGACTGACATGGCTAAAAGCAGGGGCAGTGGTATCGAAATCCGCGACGCCCGATTTCTGTCAAGCGGTTGGCATATTTATCTCCCCTATAAATATGGGATATAAGCGCGACTTAAGCCTTTTGTTTCTGTCACATCTCTAATTGAATTATTCTAGATTGCTGCGCAGAAATAAAGAAACATTACTCGTTTTGGGCTTGTCTTTAATTTAATTAAAACTTGTGTATTTTCAGTCGTTTTTTGGGTTCTTTTGCCGTTTACTGGAAATGGAAATTGACATAGATATGTCAGTTGCTTGGCTTCTTTTTGTATTATTTGTATTTTTTGTGAATTTTAGTTGTTGAAATGCCTTCCACGTTTTCAGTATTTGATTTGCTTGAAAGCTTTTTGTGCGTTTTGCTTCTGTTTTTTTTTTTACAATTTTTTGCAATACATTCTATATGTATTATTTGCAATAATGACTGATGTCATCTTTGAGTGATAGAAAGCTGGGGTTTTGATATATACAAGCTTGGTATTGATTTCTTCTTTTATTGAGCAGAACCCGTAACTTGTTTAGTTTTTAGTTTTTATTGGAACTTTAAAGTGTCTGTCATATCCGTTCATTTTAAAATGGCCATTAAAATGTTTTACGATTCTATGAAGTTTTAAAATGTATTTGAAATGTATATTTTAGGTTTTCTAAACAATTTAAAGTATTCTTTATTGACAGTTTCTATATCCGGTGCTTAATTCCCTTACATATTTTCTGGTATTTTTATTCTCAACTCAATTCACCATCAATATCGTGTTTACTTGGTCATAAAGTGACTTCATGGCTTATTGAATTCATTATAAATTCAAA